TTCCTTACTTGCTTCATAAGCCTCCCTTGCCTTCAAAGATGGATGAGGGGCTCTAACAGGCGAGCAGAATGCAGCATGGTGTCTGTTTTATCATGATTACATGCAGGTGACTCATAAGAGGGATCTCTGTCAGACATAATGACAAGTGCTGTAGTTTTAGTGTCTTGTTGGAAATCTGCAGAAGCTCAGCTCTGTAGGTAGTTACTTTTATTTGCAAGCAGGCTGAGCTAGGGAGCTGAATATTTGTTGCAATGAGGCAGCTAGAGCAGCAGCCTGGCTCACACTGGATGCTCCACTTAGTGCACAGTAAGAAGATGAATTCTTGTCTGTTCTTCATACAGGAGAATGGTTACTCACAGTTCTGAAGCTGCAGAGACGGCTGTGTGATTGACTCTCTTGGAAATTTACTGTTCTGTCTTGACATCGGTTGTACTTGTGGCGAGATTCGTTTAGACCCAGTCTGTAAGAATGTGTGCAGCAAGTTGAATGATCGCCTTAACAGATAGTTTACTCAATGAATAACAACTTCAGAGGTGTTTTCCAATGCTTCTTTATGCTTCAAGGTAGCAAAGGTATGAACATAGAGGTGTTTTCATAGGTAAATTTACAGTGATGTTACACAGCTTCCTCACTCTACAGTCTCTTGATAACCACTAAACAAAATGAAGTTACAGCAGGAAATGGAGAGTGGAAGCAACCAACTAGTCAGAAACAGCAGGGGTGTGTGGATGATACCAAATAGCATTATAACATAACATGTAATAACAACTGCTAAACAGTAAAGCTGCGTGGCAGCACAGTAATTTAGTTAACTCCCTAACAGTTTGGGAGAAAAATCAAATAGAAAATTCAAGATGTCAAAAGACCAGCTGAGTAGAGGAGAAGGTGTAAATGCAGAGTCACACATCCTGACTCTCACGCTTTACTCATTACAAACTACAGATCCCATCATGCCAAGGGAATTGTAGTGTATGTGGGTGGATACACGGAGCCTGTGTACTCGTCCACTTGTACAGAAAATCACATTCTCTAGCCTCATTGACACAAAGCAGAACTGGATAAATAACTTATTTTTTGTCTTCTAGGTTTGCCAGTATCAGAACTTTGGCAGCTACCAATTTTTTCGTATGTGCCTCCTGACCTATCTGCCTCCCCCAACTGAAAAGATCAAAAGCCCTTGGCTTACTTATATAAGCTGGCTTATATGGATGGCTTACTTCACTCACATCACTCACGGTGAAGCAAATCAGGGGAACAAACTGAGTGAGCTGACCAGTTCCCTGAAAGCATTTAACTCCATACATGCCTGACAACAACACAGGCAGGCCAGGGTACAGGATTTCACTAGGGATTCAGAAGGCACTGTGCAAGTCCAGCGAGGAGACAGACATCTGTCATCAATACTAACTCTGCCAATCTCCATAAAGGGGGGGGGGGGTTGAGGTTCTGTAGGCCATTCTGTATAAGCAGAGAACAGGAGAGGGAGCTGAGCTGCCACACAAACGTAAGCCCATAGCTGCTGGGGAGGGAGCTGAGCCTGTGGCAAACAGTTAACTCCTCAATTGCCAAACAGCTAAGCTAATCAGTGGGTGCTTTTAGTACAAGGTAAAGGTGCTTGGCAATTTAGGGGTTAACTATTAGCCACAGGCTCATCTCTCTCCCTACCAGCTATGGGGTTAAGTCTGTGCAGCTGTTCTCAGTTTCCTCTCCTGTTCTCCTATGCTTATACAGATACATATCCCCCCCTCCATGTCCCCGGAGATTGGCACAGTTAATAGTGATGACTGATGGCTGTCTTACGGCTAGGCTGTCACAGTGCCTTCTAAATCCATAGTGAAATCCTGTACCCCAGCCTGCCTGTGTTGTAGTTGCCTAGCATGTATGGAGTTAAATCAGGGGCGTAGCTACAGGAGTCGCAGGAGTCGCAATTGCAACCCTGCCTCATGCTACAAAGGACCCTGCAGCCCCTCTGTACGCCTGGATAGGAGGAGCGGTGCAGGCAGCTGTATGTAGAGGAATGATCTCTCAATATTCTTCCTGCAGCCGCTGAATGCCTGCGGGAAGGAGAGGAGGAGGAGTGGGCATTCAGCGAGAGATTGATTCCCCTACATGCAGCTACCCTGGCCACTCCTTCTATCCATGTTCCTTCCGCTGCAGAACAGAGTTCTGCAACCCTCAGAATTGGTCCTGTGCTTGCCGGTGTAGCGGCAAGATCTGTCTCCCATGAAGATCTGTCCCCCTTGAAGCAACTGTGCATGTCACGGTTTCAGGCACGATTAATCGATTACAGAACTACTGCATCCGACCATGTACCTTTGTTGAAGTATGCGGGAGAGTCTTCATTGGCTATTGATCTATGGGATCAGCTTCAGCTGTGTGTGTAAGTGTCATCAGCGGTGCAACCTAAAAGGGGTTAAATGTGGCAGCTCTGTGCTACAGATGGTGATCGGCGATCTCCTTCTTATGCCTAAAACCGTGACATGCGCAGTTGCTTCAGGGGGACACATCTACATGGGGAGACAGATCTTGCTGCTACTCAGGTCTCTAGTGACACTTGTAAACACAGAGACCCCGCCACTGTGTCTACAAGTGACAGCACTCTGCCCTCGGCATCTCGATGGGACGAACCATCGCTTTGCACAGAATCCTCCCTCCCTCCTCCAGCACTCTGCAGCAGGTGAGAGGTGTGTTCTAGTGCCAGCCTCCGAGTGAGCTCAGAGGCGGAGGCGGAGCCACCTCTACTGCCAGCTGCTGTTCCTGATATGTGCTTTGGAGCTTCGGAGATCCCGCCGGTAGAGATGAAAACTACAGTACTTCTTTCCAGGATGTGTATGGGAGTGAGTGAGTATGTAGGAAGATGTTTTCCTGCAGCTAACATCAGTTGCTGCCTTTTACGTGATGATGCCTTGAATTAGGACTCAGTCACACCATGTACCTTCCTGCCATCATGCACTCTGCACTGCTTTACTGTACATCCTACCAGCCATCATACACTCTGCACTCCTCTCCTGTACATCTTACCCTCTGTCAAACACTCTACATTCATTTCCTGCACATCCTAAAGCCTTTGAAAATTGGCTCTCTCAAAATTTTGTATTTTTTTCTTTCCAGTATGGTCTTGTTGCCTATAGCTAACATTAAATAAAATCATGTTATGATCACTTCTATCTAAATGTTCTTTTATATAAACATTAGTAATAAGCTCTGCAATGTTTGAGATTGCCAGATCCAGCAAAGCATCATTTCTCATCAGGGCTTCTATAAACAGTGCCATAAAATTGTCTTGTAATGGGTTTGTACATTTCCATCCTTTTAGAGCAGTTCAAATTCCCCATTATTACCACCGTCCCAGCCCTTCAATAAGCTACATTTGTCAAAACTGCCTTCCATTTTTTTTTTTTTTTATAACAATGTAGCTTTTACTAAACTAACTGTGGATAAAGGTATCCAGCTTCTAAGCCTAAAACATCCAGGTATTGTACAAAAACAAAGCAATATTTCCAAAATAAGTGCAGCTTTTAGTACACTAAACAGAATAGATTGGCAGTCTCTGGGGTTCAGATGACTATGGATGCAATTCACAAAGCTGTTTTTCCTCTTTTTGGTCTGTTATTTTCTTACTGTACCTTATCTAGCTCATATTTCTTAAATCTCTCATAGACACATAACATGTTTAATCTAGCCTGTTCTGTATGCAGTCGTATGTTGTATTTTACTGCTCAATATATATTGTAATATTTCTACACTACCTCTCACCTTATATACAGCAAATAAATAAGAGAGCTAACCAACACTGTGACTCACACAATAAATAAACAACATATACTATACTAGTGCAGTTCTCTCCTCTTCAAAAAACTCATACATATACAATCTGTATAAGACTGTGAAAAATACACAAATGCAGAATAAAAAGTATAAAGTATATATGAATAGTGAAAAAATAAAGCTGCCAAACTAACTATGCAAATACACAAAAACACAATGTATAGTGCAAAAAATGTTCAACAGGATCAGTCTGGTGTCACCTCAGTCTGTGGAAATCTGTACCATTCACACTCTCAATGCACTATGCAAACAAACCCTTTCCTTCTTATATATCAAATGCAAGTCCCCCACCACTTGAGCTTTAAGGGGGGGGGGGGGTGTCACCTTTACAATATAGAAGGTTAAACACAGCATAAGTAAAGCCAAGTGGTATCACAATGCTCCTCCACAGCTTCTCCAGGTCTTACTTTCACAAGGAATGTATTACAGCTTTTGTTATTCTGAAGAAATAGCTGTTCTTTGTTATGACTACAACCACGTTTATAACATTACAGTGTCCATGTGTGGACTGACCATTGGAGCACTGAGGCACTGCCCGAGAGCCCGGGGTCAGTAGGGGGCCCCATGAAATGCCCCTGGTACCTTTTTATAGGCTTTTTTTGAATGTCCCCATGATCCCCCATTGCCCGGGGGCCCCATGAGTTGTCAGTCCGCCCCTGACAGTGTCAGTGTTATTTTATTGGCCCTTAGGAAAGTAATCACTATAAAAGTACATTTACAAAGATTGCCATACCATTTATTATTCATTAACCACTTGCCGTCCACCTGCTGTTTATAAACAGCAGGACGGCTGCAATCCAGGGGCGGGTTGCCATTCATAAACGGTACCCCCATTTGTAGCTGTGTGCGTTCCCTGGGAGCGCGCAGCACCACGATCCGGTGCCTGCTGTGTCCTCCGGACACAGTGAAACACCGATCGTCGGACCGGACCTCTGTACGAGGTCCCGATCATGTGATCACTGATTGGCCAATCAGTGATCACATGCAAAGTAGTAAGCAAGATGTCACTTGTGACATCATTGCTTACTACGTGTGAAATCTGTGAATGATCACAGAGGTCACATGGTACAAGGCTATTCACAACAGCCTTGTATCATGTGACAAGCTGTGACCAATCACAGCTCACTCAGTAGTTCTCAATGGCTGGCAGAAAGCAGACAGAGAGAAAGAGAAATGATTGCTTTTACATCCTATATGGGTGTAAAAGCAATCACTGTAAAAAAATAAAAAAATCTTCATCACCCCCACAAGTAGTACAGTGTCACCATGGTGACACTGTACTGCTAGGGTGAGAGTATGTAAAAAAAAATAAATAAATAATAATATAAAAAAATAAAATAAAAATGTAAAAAAAAATGTTTAAAAATTATAATTTTTGGTTATAAACTAGTTTGGCTTATTTTATTTTTTTTACTAAAAAGATAACGGAATACATTTCGGCCAAGATGTATGATGAAAGATTATTTATTTGCAAAATTTTATAAGAAAAACACTTTTTTTCAAAATTTTTGGACGTTTTCATTTACATAGCAAAAAAATTAAAATCCCAGCGGTGAATAAATACCACCAAAATAAAGCTTTATCTGTCTCAAACAAATGGTAAAAAAATTCACATGGGTACAGTGTTGCATGACCACGCAATTGTCATTCAAAGTGTGATAACGCTGAAAGCTGAAAATTGCCCTGGACAGGAAGGGGGTAAAAGTGTCCGGACAGGAAGTGGTTAAAATAACACTAGCTTCAACCAGTAATACACCCAAAACAAACATTTACAGGTTTTACATACAACATAAATAAAAGCTCACCATTGTAAGCACCCTGCTCGGTGATAAATGGTTTGTCTCAAACCTGTAACTGCAACTTGTACTCAACAGCTTGCTCAGTTAAAAGAAGACATTAAACTGAAGAGATCAACAGGATCAACAAAAAAAAAAACAAAAACAAAAAAAAACTAATGCAACCAGAACAGCTAAGATTTTGTGAGCTGCAATATAATACATTTTAGTTTTGCTTTGTTTTGGGGTTTACTACTGCTTAACCACTTTACAACCACTGTCAGGGATCTCCTCGATCCCTGCCGCGATGGTCCCGGCGCAGGCGCACTGCTCCACCTAGTACACGGGCACTAGGTCCGGGCCGGCCGCGGCGTTCGAGCTTGCGCATGCGCAGTAGAAGCCGCGGCCGCCCGCTGGGCACCAATGGCAGCGCAGGGCGGGATATTTAAAGGTCCCTGAGCTGTCATTTCGTTGCCTTCTGGTCTTACCTGCTTCCTGTGTTCCTGTACCTGTGCCTAGTAAGTTATTGACCCGGATTGCTCTTGACCTTGCTGATTTCTCCTGCCCAGACCCCTGCTTGCCTGACCTCTCTCCCTGGATGCCCCTTATTAGATCTGATCTCCTGTTGCTGACCTGGCGTGTGACCCGACGATTCTCTGCCTGCTCCCTTGTACCTTACCGTCCTCTACCTTACCGACTCAGCCTGTCTGACTACGCACTTGCTCAGCCATCCATCCATCCATCCCATCGGGCTCACCCGACCTCCTCACATCTGGCTCTCCCTGGTTGGAACCCCTGGCGAACACCCCTACCACTGACAGGTGTGCTCAGTAGAGGCGACCTGGTCTCGGGGTACTACAAGTCCATCCCCACCATCAGGGGCCCTGGTGAACAAGTACCCTGGGGCTTAGACTCCGCGCTCTGGGCACGCCTGACCAGTGGAGTGCTAGTGGTGCCGCTCGGCGGTCCCTCACAACCACGCTATAGCCGAATAACGCTACAGAGCAGTTGTCCAGTTCTGGGAGGGCATCATCCTACGGACACAGCTGATCACATGACTAAGTTAAAGACCAATCACAGCAGCATTTTACCACATGTTCAATGACACAGCAGGTCACAAAATAAATACAGTTGCCGGTTATCTGCAACACTTTCCTCACGGCAAATGTCACAGAGGACACCCACACTGATAATCAGGGCACTGATTATCAGTACCCAGCAGTGCCACCCATCAGTGCTGCCAGTCAGTGCTGCCAGTCAGTGCTGCCTATCAGTGTCCATCATTGCTGCATATCAGTGCAGTAACATCAGTACCTGCTCATCCATGCCCACCAGTGCACCCTCATCAGTGCAGCCTATCAGTGCCCATCACTGCTGCCTATCCGTGCCACCTCATCAGTGCCCATAAGTGTTGCCTCTCAGTGCAGCCTCACCAGCACACATCAGTGATGGAGAAACATTACCTGTTTTATAATTATTATTTGTTTTATAAATTTTATAATAGAAACACATTTTTTTTATAGTGTAAAAAATAAAAACCCCAGTGGCAATTAAATATCACCAAAAGAAAGCTCTATTTGTGTGAAAAAAATGATAAAAATTTAACATAGGTACAATGTTGCATGATCGCACAATTGTCATTCAAAATGCAACAGCACTAAAAGCTGAAAATTGGCCTGGGCACGAAGGGGGTAAAAGTGCCTAGTAGGCAAGTGGTTAAAGGGTGGTGATAACTGAAAGTTTCATTAGCTGTCTATGATGGAAAGCAGGAAAAAAGAGCTGTTTAAAGGGGTTTTAACTGACAAATACAAAATTAAAAAGCATGTTAACAAATGCAAGAAGCCTGACAAACAAAATGGACGATTTAGAACTTCTGTTATTTCTGTTATTTTTCTGTTATTTAACTTTATGGGAATTTCGGAAACCTGGTTTGACAGCTTGTATGACTTGACTACGAATATTGGAGAGACCTAACTGGCAAAGGAGGTGGAGGGGAGTGGATGTATGTGAAGAGAGATCTGAAAGTAAGTTTGAGAAACTATATCACTAACGAGAACTGTGATGGTATAGAGTCATTATGGCTGGAGCTCCGTAAGAGTGCAGCAAATAGTAAATTACTTGTCAGAGTATGTTATAGGCCCTGATAAAGAGGAGTTTCAGCTCTCTTCACATATTGAAATGCCTGGGAAGCAGGAAAATGTTATTATTATTATTGGTGATTTTACCTATCCTGATATCGATTGGGCAAATGGAACTGCACAGCCAACAAATGCCTAAATTATTATTATTATTATTATTAATAATAATATATATTAAATGTATCACAGAGCAATTTCATAGAACAGATAGTGGAAGCCCCAGCACGGAAAAAAGCTCTGTTGGATCAATTAATTTCAAACAACATGGAGCCTATTACAGATGAACAGGTTAGGGACAACTTGGGTAATATTGATCACAGTGTAATGACATTTCATATACAAGGAATGCAACAAGAAACGCAAGAAAGCAATCAGGATGGATACGATAAAATGAGAAACACATTGCTACAACGAGTAAAAAATCCCCAAATTGTTTTCAAATGTATATTAACAGCAAAAAAAGGTTCAACCACTTGCCCTCTAGAGGATTTACCCCCCTTAATGACCAGGCCTCTTTTTGCTACTTGGTGCACTAATTCAACTGATAATTCGGTCATGCAATGCTGTACCCAAACAAAATTTATGTCCCTTTTTTCACACAAATAGAGCTTTCTTTCGGTGGTATTTGATCACCTGTGTGCTTTTTATTTTTCACACTATAAAAAAAAAGACCAAAAAGTTTGAAGAAAAGCTATATTTTTTACTATCAGCTATAAAAAATATATAGTAAACTCAAAGTTAGTTATAAATTTAGGCCAAAATGTATTCTGCTACATGTTTTTGCTAAAAAAAATCCTAATAAGTGTATATTGATTGCTTTGTGTGAAAGTTATAGCGTCTACAAAATATGGTATAGATACTGCAATTTACACTATTTTTGTGCTATACAGAGCTGCACTAGTTTAAGAAACAATTGCGCGGTCATGCAATATGTTACATAAATGAAATTTATGTCCTTTTTGTTCACATAAATAGATATTTCTTTTGGTGGTATATTAACACCTGTGCACTTTTTATTTTTGTCATTATAAACAAAATATTTTTGAAGAAAAAACATTTTTTTTTTAAAACAATATTTTCTCATTTCTGTCATAAAAGATATCCAAAAAAATTTGTCATAAATTTAGGCCAAAATGTATTCTGCTACATGTTTTTGGTTAAAAAAAATCTCAATAAGTGTATATTGATTGCTTTGTGTGAAAGTTATAGCATCTACAAACTATAGTATAGATAATGGAATTTACACAGCTTTTACTTTCTGACTGCTTATCACATTTTTTGAAGTGCTAAAATACCAGGACAGTGCAAACACCCCCAAATTACCCCTTTTTGGAAAGTAGACACCCTAAGCTATCTGCTGAGAGGCATATTGAGACCATGGAAGATTTATTTTTTTTGCACAAGTTTCTGGAAAATGACAAAAACTTTTTTTTTTACACAAAGTTGTCATGTAAATGATTTATTTCTCGCACAAGCCATGGGTATATGTGGAATTACACCATTAAATACATTCTGTTACTTCTACCGAGTATGGGAATACCACATGTGACATTTTGGGAGCTTAGCTACATACAGGAGCCTGAAATCCAATGACCACTTTGAAACCCGGAAGGTTCGTAACTTCCTCATTTCACTTCCTCACTACCTATCACAGTTTCGGAGGCCCTGAAATGTCAGGATAGCACCAAACCCCCCCTCCCTAATGATCTTTTGGAAAGTAGACACCCCAAGAAATTTAAAAAGAGTCATGGTGAGTATTTTGCAGATCTAATTTTTCTCACAAGGTTTTGAAATATAAAAAAAGAAAAGAAAAAATATGTTTTTTTTTTCTTCATTTTCCAAAAACTTGTGGCAACAAACAAGATCTACAAAATACTTACCATGCTTCTTATCAAATTCTCTGGGGTGTCTACTTCCCAAAAAGGGGTCATTTGGGGGGGTTTGGTGCTATCCTGGCATTTCAAGGCCTCCGAAACTGTGATAGGTAGTCAGGAAGTGTAATGAGGAAATAAAGCCCTTTAAAAGCTTGAAGGTGCTTATTGGATTTTGGGGTCCTGTACTTAGCTAGACTGCCAAAACATCTCCCACATGTGGTACCCCCATACTCGGGAGAAGTAGCAGAATGTATTTTGGGGAGTAATTCCACATATACCCATGGCATATGTGAGCAGTAAATCATTTAAGTGACAATTTTGTGTAAAAGAAAAAAAATTTTTTTTTGTCATTTTCCAAAAACTTGTGGTAAAAAAATAAATTCTTCTTTTGATTCAACATGTCTCTAAGTAAATAGTTTGGGGTATCT